TTCATCAGTTGAGATGGCTGGGACACGTGTTACGTATGCCCAACGACCGACTGCCTCGACGTGCTATGTTCAGTGGTATAGGAGTAGGTTGGAAGAAAGCTAGGGGCGGCCAAACCAAAACATGGCACAAGTCCATGAAGTCACTGACAAGTGACTGAGTCATGTTGGTAGGTGTAGACTACCTGGTTGGGGACCGCGAGATGATAGCAACCGATGGTTAGAGACCCTGAATGACATGGCTCAAAATCGTTTGCAATGGCGCAGGTGCATCCACTCTCTGTGTTCTCCCAAATTCTAATCTTCTGAATTCTTCATGTCCCTTTTTTCCTCTTTCCAAATTTATTTCACTGGATTATACTCTTTAAATAACATCTCCAAACCCTAATCTTCCCGATTACTGCTTATACTCTTGTACCTCTACCACTACGGGATTTGAATCGACAACTGCATCTCTGTGCTAATGTGGTGTGGCAACTCGAACTGATGTACGTACGTACGAAGTTCTACGTTGTTACTGAATGACTGACTGACATCCCATCGGGCTCTGAACAAGATGATGAGCGACAACAAATCAGATCTAGGCTAAGAAAAAGTCCAAGGAACGACCATGAGCAGTCGTGGACAACGAAAGCAAAAGAGATGGAAAAGGCGGTGGCTGTATGTAACACCAGACAGCTTTAAAGACTAATAAAAGAAACTGGAATTAAGGAGTCAAATGTGAGACACTCTCGGAAACGACAACATTCTTATCTGCTCTCAGCTCAGATGTTTAGAACGATGTGTGGAACACTTTAAGGAGTAGTTCAGCTGGCCTTCAACAACCTTACACAGCCGCTCACCATTCCCAAACAGTCTGAATGGAACACTGAAGTAGACCCCCTACTCTAATTGAAGTTCAGAAAGCTATAGCTAATCTGAGACGAGGATAAGCAGCTGGCCCAGATGGACTAACTCCATATGTCTTTAAGTATGATGGTTCAGTTTTAGCGATTAGGTTGATTAATATTTTATATAAAATCTAGGGATTAGACGTAATCCTATCTGATAGGTCGCAATTACTGATCGTCCCAATATATAAGAAGGGGTCGAAATCATTCTGTGATAACCATAAAGGGATTAGTTTGACAAATATAGTATCTAAAATACTAGCCTCGATAATTATCGGACGCCAAAGACTCGTGAACTGCAAACACGAGAAAATCAGACTGGCTTCAGACCTGGTCGTGGCTGCATCGACCACATATTCACCATTCGTCAGATCTTAGAACATAGGCATACTTATTGGCGTCCGATAATGATAGGTTTTCTTGACTTGCAAGCAACATTTGACTCTGTATACCGAGAGTTTCTGTGGCAGTGTCTGTCAATGAAAGGCGAACCTAAGAAGTACATAAACCTTGTGAAGGCTCTTTACTCGAACACTTCTAGTCGAGTCAGAGCTTATGGCGAACTGTCATCTGATTTTGCAACCTCAAGTGGTATCCGTCACAGCTATCCACTTTATCCATTTTTGTTTAACTTCATCATAGACCTACTGAAGGAAATAACGCTCTGATCTAATGAATTTTCGTATATTGATCCCTTCCAGCAGGTCCACTTATTGACTTAGAATGCGCAGATGATATAGTCCTGTTTGGTGAAGACGCTGATAAAATGCAGTCTTCTGGTAGCACCTAGCAACAATGCCAGAATGCTTGGGATGTGTTTCTTCCCCTCTAAATGCAAGTCGTTGCTTCAGGACTGGTCTGCGTCAACACCTGAACTAAGGATAGGGAGTGAAGTAGTCGAAAGCGTTGACAACTTCACTTAACTTGGAAGTCTGATCAGCCCTAATGGGTTAGTGTTTGAAGAAATCTCTGCATGGATTCAGAAAGCTCGTTTGGCTTTTGCCAACTTACTTCACCTATGGAGAAGGCGAGATATCCGCATAGCAATAAAAGGACGACTATACTGCGCGGCAGTCTGTTCTGTTTTAATTTACGGCAGCGAAACATGGCCATTAAGAGTAGAAGATACTAGTATTTGACCTCAGATGCCTTAGAAATATTGCTGGCATCTGCTGGGATCACCGGGTAAGTATTAGGGAATGATGGTAAGTCAGTTGATTAGGTTGTGAATCTTCATCGTCTGAAATGGTTGTGCCACGTGTTACGTATGTCTGAACATCGATTAGCATGACACGCGATACTAACTAGTATTGGGGATGATTGGAAGAAGGTTAAGGGTGGTCAAACCAAAACGTGGCACCAGTGCTTGAAGTCATTAACTTCTAGTGTGAGCCATGTTGGTAGATGCAAACTACTTGGTTGGGGTCCGCGCGACTATCGTAACCAATGGTTAGAGACTCTGGGTGACATGGATCAGAATCGATCACAATGGCGTCGGTGTATACACTCTTTGTCTGCTCTTAAACCGTGAGACTAAAACTGCTTTATACCTTTACTTGTACGAAATAATTCCTTCATCTTGCATTACATCCTTATACGTAATCTTTCTTTTATACATTACTACCATTGAAGTAACTATTTCTATGAATTTGGTGTTCATCTTGTTGTGCTAATAAGGTGTGGCAGCTTGGACCGATGCATATGTGTAAGTGGTTCTACGTTACAGTTGACTGACTGATTCATGCTGCTAGATCACTTACCCCAGCCGAGCGGAACTACAGTCAAATTGAAAAGGGTACCCTTACTATCATTTTCGCTGTTAAAATGCACTACTGACAGATCACAAACCTTAAACTGCAATTTTCGGTTCTAATAAAGGAACCCCTATATGTACAATTAGCAGACTACAACATTAGGCAACAATGTTTCTGAGCTAGGACTTCAACATCAAGTATCAGTCAGCAAACACTATAAGTCAGGCGAATCTCTCACTCAATTGGTTGAAGTTCAACACCCTGGACTGGAGGACATGATCATTGACTCAGTAGCAATAGATCCAGAAATAAGGTGTGTAGTAGTAGATGGCATTCGAAACACTCCAGTGTCATCAGATGAAGTTAGAGAAGAAACTCTTCGAGACCCAGTCTTACAAGAAGTTAAAAAGTTCCATCTAGAAGGGCGGCTCTCGAAGGTGAGTTACACAGAGCTTCAGCAGTTTTACTAACCAGACTACCTCAATCATCGATGACTGCCTTCTGTCTGCCGAACGTGTCGTAATCCCAAAGAGGCTGCAACCGGTAGTGAGTGGACAATCGCACGCAAGACATCCTGGGATAAATCGCATGAAAGCACTAGCACGAAGTTATGTATACTGGCAGGATTTAGACACAACTGGAGCACCTATCCCGGTAATGTACCAAATGTGCATTAGCAAAACCACAGTTACTGTGGCAACGTATACACTTGGACTTAGCTGGTCCACTTCATGGACAAACTTACCTTTTGGCAGTTGATGCATACAGCAAGTGGCCAGAGATTTTTCTTAGGAAACATCCAACTGTAAGCTGCACAGTCAGAAAACCACGTCGACTATTTAGTCACTTCGGGGTTCCATAACTAAGTTAGCGACAGTGGAACACAATTTACATCCGCTATCTTCCCAGAATGCTGTAGGCAGAACGGGATCAATAATGTCCGAACACCTCCATTCCATCCGCAATCCAAAGGCCAAGTAGAACGCTTTGTTGGTACATTTAAAACGATGTACAAAAATAAAAGTGGGAGTGGACCACTGAAGAGATTCGACAGAGAATCCTGTCAACCTGTTGTTCTACAACAAATCCTCAGACAATTAACGGGTCTCTCCAGCAGAAGCTTTACTTGGCGGAAAAATACGAACATATTTTGGTGTCATTCACCCGACACAAGCTCTTGAGCCTCAACGCAATTCAATAGACATTATGGGGTACAAAGACGTTTGCTCACTGTGGGTCAAAACGTACTTGCTATGGACTATTGTGGTAAACATCTTACATGGAAAAATGGTCGAATCGTTCAAAAAAAAGAAGTGTGGTTTACGAGGTGTCAGTTAGCTCAGAAGTTTTTGTGAGTCATGCTAACCAACTAAAAGCAACTTCGATCGCCAGCAACGAGACCCAACGTAGGACACCTCGTGATGTTCTGATGGACACCTTCGAAATCGAGACCGCTGAAACGGACAGGTCGGTTTCCGTGCAAGCAAGTGACACCACTTCTTTATCGCATAGAAGATGGACAATTCGAAAACACAGACCGGTCACGCGGCTGCAGGTGGACCTTAACACCAGATCCTATGAATCTGTTCAAAGGGAAGGAGTTGGCAGGACATAGATTAGATCAAAACATGTCCCGTGAAGGATTGTGTTGAGACACATTGACTGGCCATTTCTTAGTCAATCAGCGTTAGCGAATACTTGGGGACGACTCTGGAATATTCTTGTATCAAGATTATAAATATATTAAAGTTCTTCTTATTGCGTTTCCTACTTCCATTAAAACCTTGTTTATTGGAATATAATTATGTTCTTGTTCAACCATGTTCTGATTTAGGGACTTGTCGAGTGAAGTAGTGTCCAAAGAATACTAAGTAATAAAAGTATCTGGGTTGAAATAAAAGAGATTATCATAACACTCAGAAACTATGTAACCAGACAATTCGACTGGTAAATAAAAGACCATAATGCTTAACCGTTGAACTTATTTACTGTCCTGAGTACACCACAGTAGCCAGTAAATCAACTATTTTAGCAAAAACTAATCAACAGTCAATCACAAAAAAATCCCTGCAATCCAACAATTGTGATAGACAATCTGAACCCACAGAGGTAATTTGCTTATCTATCATTATAGAATATATGATGATAGTTAGTCATTGGCTTTTTAAAGTAATAACCCACATCAGCTCACTATTGATCATCAAGTCAAATATTAATGCTCACCCGCAAATGTGTAGTATCTATGTTATGTAGAAAGCAAACAAGATAATACGAATATAGCGAGTGAAAAAATTACACAAGTCATAATACTATACTGAAATACGAAATGAGGTATTTCAAAAGTGTTGAAACAACATACCTTCTTTATTACCAACTCAGCTGACTGATCGATGGCACTAGCTAATTCTGGAGCTCGACCAGTGTAACTTAAAACAACCACGTGAACAATGAGATTAAAGCAATATAAAATGGTAGGGCCAATATACCCGAAACCATTGATAAACCAATAAATTCTGATAATCCTGTAACAATATGGAAAATTAGTAGAACAACAGCCAGAACAGCAGGAGTACGAAATGTCTGAAAATGGGATAGAAAAAGGTGGATAATTGTGCGAAGGTAAAGCCAGTGGACATACAGACAGTAGTTACGAACTATAAGCTTAACAGCAGGTATCCTACCTTATGTCTGAGACGGTAAAACCTAAAGGAACGAGTGTTTCAGCCAATATAACTGGATGGGGTTATCACGATGCTCAATCTACACCACAACATCGAGGTAGCGACTAAGGTAGGAATTTACAGTATGCAACGTTTCAGCCTTAAATTAATTAACATGCACTGCAGCATGTTATTCTCCAAACTTTGTAGGCCAGTCACTTACAAACGGTAATTTAGCGCAATTAAAAAAACAGACACTACCGTCACTTCGAATCAATTATTATGTATTTTCGTTTATCTAGTGTGGAGACTTGGGCTGGCAAATATCTGTTCCACGTCACGTTTTTGACTGGCAGACTACAGAATCAAGACAGCAGTTAAAATGGGTAAGCGCTCTTCCACCATGTACCAATGAGTTTCAATCAGAAAATCCAGTAAACTCATTGTCGATTAATAACTTAATTCCTTTCTTAATTTTTGACTTTCATGTATTGGCTAATTTTTTGGACTAATGTACTATTCTGTGATCTACATAAATATGGTGAACTAGACTATAACATCAGGCCAGACAGAAAATATGTGAGTTATTTAATGAATCAGATTAGCAATTAACGAGTGAGCTGAATGCAAATTAATCACGATTTTACTGATTTACGATTTTTTGATATTTTATCTAATAGTAGATTTAAAAGAACTATTCTGAAAGATAAAATGGAATTCCGGATTTAAACACTGAATGTGACTCAGTGGCCAAGGAAAGACCTGTGCGCTTAGCTTCGAGATTGGAACGAGGTTAGAACATTAACCAGTCGCATACATAGAAGTAAATGAGGCAAAATTTGAACCTAGAACTAGGTGATCCAAAGCCAAGTTGCCTGACTAGCAAGCCCACCACTTTATTAAGGCATCTATTCTATACCCACAAAGTTTAAAAAGTCAAACGAAAAAAGGTTTTGAACCTATTAAAATCTATGTCAACTGACTACTGAAAATACTTTGAAAATCAGATATACACAAACCTACCTGGAATATATCCTTTTTAGAATTTGACATCCGATAATCTTCTCCCAGTTGTTTTAATGTTTCTTTTAAGCGTTCCAAATAACCTGCAGAGAATGCCTCACCACCCATTTTGGGAATTGTGTTAAATTTTTCAATAGAAGCCTTATATATTTTTAAATGAGCTAAATCTAAATCAGTTGGATTGATGTACGGCCGATCGGGTCCACAAATCTACGATATAGGAAAAGGAATAAATTGTAGTATACTGAATGGAACCTTAAGTAGATAATATATGTCTTTCGATGTTCTATAACATCATTGGACATTTGTTTTCTGAGAACAGAGAATACTTAAATTTAGGCATTTTACTATAATCTAACGCAATTGCTCTACTACACTCTAGTATACTACTAAGCTGTTTGCATAAGAATACGTCACGGAACGAGAAAAACATTGTTTCTCCTGATAGGTAGCGGAAACCACTCACTACAATGCATAAATCCAGAACTCAAACAAGTCCCTTTTCAAGTCACTAGGTGATCTATTTAATGATAGAACAATTCAAATCCAGTTTTAATGAATAATATAACACAAGAAATATCTTACAAAAATAATTTACAGCTGACCTGAATTACGGGCATGTATAAAATAGCCTAAGTGACAAATCACAGCTATACCACACTGATGATTAGGACAAAACATTCTTTACCTTGTTCATAGCCTCTGAATACATCTCTTGACATGTTAATATTGCATTAAGGTTGTTTGCCTCGGCAGTTGCTTCCAACATAGAACGTGGTTCTGGGAGAGTATCACTTTCATAAATTTTTATATATGCCTTGAAATAAGTAAAAAGTTCACGACACGTAACTTCCTGACCATTTATCCTTTTAACAACCAGATTAACTGGAGCTAACAAATGAGGAACTAATGCTATAAGGTTTTCAACGAAACTAGGATCAATATCCTTTACTCGTCCATCAAAGTTTGGATTTGTTGAAACTTTAAGACCGGGATGAGGCATTAGGAAACAATCCAACTTGGAAAAACAAGAGCGAATATGACGGCGGACAGCTTGGTGCTCTGTGTGATGCTGTTGAACAATCTGGAAGAAAACAATGTGGTCATGAAGCAAACACAAATTACAAGACAGGTAGTTGCACATTGACAGGTTGTCAGTTATGGAAGCATATAGTAAGACCTGTACCTTGCACGAATAGCTCATTTGTTGAGATTTATGAACTACCCATAACTCTATGTATCTCGTAGGTTTCAACTCACTAACAGAATGAACGATCACTTTCGTAAAAAAAGATTTGTGTAGTTTCGATTTGCAGTCTAAACTATCAGAACGAAATAATCTAATCGAAACAATATTTTTAGTTTAAATATAACAAAGATTATAAATATTCTTCAATACCTGATGAGTGAATACCAAAATACAAAAAATCCTATTTTAGGGTATCGGGTATAAACCTAACCAATCGGAAATTTTACTAGGCTAGGGACTGATTTTAGTAACGTTTCGCGACTGGCTGAGGTTGTGAAGCTTATGTTGGACCATTATCAGCATCAAAACTTTAAAAAATTCAATATGCTCTACATTTCAACAAAATTGGAATGTTTAGTCGTTGAAACAACATGAGGTAAATACGGCCCACGAAATGTTCACACATATGAGAACCATATATTAAGTATGACTTTGCTTTTCCTAGTGTGGTATGAACAGACGAGTCTGAACCCAAAATCTCGTGTCGGGACAATATAGTTGTTTTTATTATGAAGTGATTAAATGTGATGCCCACTGATTATAGAATCGAATTACAATTTACTGATAAATATTAGGGGATAATAAAATAGTTATGATATATATAACTAAGAAGTACTGATAGTATTATGTATTCATTTGTGAATAGGTTCCGGATGAAACAAGAGATCAAATATCATGCAATAAACAGGTTGTCAGACTAGTATGTGGCGTAAATAACAAGTTTCACATTTACTTTTGATTCTATCACCTGTCCGAAGGTATAAATAGTGCAGAATATTTGGTATTGTTAAGTTTAGAAAAGAATACGTAATCTTGGATTCATAAACAGAATTTGTTGAAAGTTATGGTGTTGAACAGATTGATAGTTAGCGCTTTTTATAACCGATAGGACCAAGTTTAGTTTCGACTAACTAGTTGTAAACACTTAGGCCTCCGTTAATTTGTGATTTTCATCATGTCACTAGCAAATATGTGAATATATTCTGAATGAATTAAAGTATTACAAGGATTTAGAAGTTCTCTTCAAAGCACGTTGCTAGAAAGAGTGGATACGGTTAAAACTGATTATTATAGAGATAAAATTTGTGTAGTGAGAGTTCAGAACACAAGCTAGGATGAAATGAATGAATTTACTGATTCCCCGTGACATTGTTACTGTATAAACAGTGTATGTTATTAAAATGTTCATATGGTTAACTCAGCCTTGTTACTTGGGTTTTAACAAAATCGGTATATAAATATTTGTTAAGTTTCGGAAGCATTTCTCTTATATTAATCAAACACAATTAGTAAACATGTAAGGTGAAACTAAGAACACGTAGGTAACTTTGAATTATATGGCTACTGCCGAACAGCACATCCAAACATATCATAATTGTCTAACATCAACTTGAAGAAGCAACCTACTTATTGAGTAAAACCCATTGACATCTGATAAACAGAGTGAGATCTGGTTTGTTGGTGATACTTGAAGTATTCTTGTAATACTTTCCCAATGAAATCAGACTGAACGGGAAAACCAAGTGAATATGAGACTCCATACATCATAATAACAAAACGAAATTTCCAAGATTTTTGTAGCAGTAATAAATGTTGTGAATTACCTTGAGGCGATTATCAAGCAGTTGAGTACCACCACTATTCCCGAAGTCATACTCGTACGGGAAACTCCAATCGCGAACAAGAAATAAAAGATGCTATGTATAAAAAGTACAAAGACATAGACAATAGAGCGGAATGATGTGATAACAAAACCTTTATAACACATATAAGAAGATCACAGTCTAAAAACGATGAAGTAGAATCAATTCAGTCCTCTTATACTCTAGGAACGAGTGGTGGTTTACAACGGAAGTAACCGGTCAACTAGATACCCCGAAATGCCCTGGTATGATCGAGGGTGGGGAGGGTCAGCTCTCCTTCTAGGAGTGCTCTCATATGGCCATGTGTATACAGCTACTGTTAAGGAAGTTCTACTCACTGCCTTGTTGCGGTGTGGTGTCTTTTACGAAATCGAGAGGACGAAAAGCGAATATTCAACGCTTTAACCGGTTGGTGGATATAGAGAATTCACCTAAGGGAGTTGGAAAACCCTGATTCCAAACCAATAGTGCACATGGGCTACAGAAACCGGAATAAACATATGGCATGTGAACCTATTGTTGGTTACCGGTTATCGTGGGACTGCATCTCCCACGTTGCTCCATTGCCTTGTGGATTAGACTTCTAGGTCAAAAGCTCGGGGAGTAGCAGTCTAAGAAAACCACATGCTTTGGTCTGGGCACGCGGGCAGTATCCCAGAACCCACACAACGAATTTGTGTGGAGCATATATATTTGGTGCCTCCCTGTACAAAGTTCTATGTAAATAAATAAATAAATACTAGGCTACAGGCAATGCTGTGTGGCAAAGTAATTAGAAGGAAAGGACCTCCCAAGATAGAAAAAATCCAAACTGGTGACCGCTGGTTGGCAACGAAACAGAAAGTATTAAAAGTGAGAATATGATCAACTTGCTGTCATGAGCATAAAACGTATAACGCAGAGAAAGAAAGCAAGCGATGACAGCAAAACACTTATTCCTAATTAGCAGGGAGTTACATTATCTAGATATAATGACCAGTGGTTTTACAAACTTTCACGCTTTATCACTACTACCCCTTATTAGTTTTCCTCTTGGCCGTTTAAAACAATCAAATGACCACTTTTATTTGCAAGATGATTGCGAGAATGTCTGACCTCATTGTCACACTACATGACCATGACACTACCGATTACCTGTTTATAAAACCCATTTCAAAAGAATGAGAATCGCCGAGCATGGGTGAAGTTATTACAGAAACTATATAGGGTTGATTACAAGCCAGGGAACATCTAGACACTCAGTTGCAACTACATAGGAAATGCATGTTACACTGTGCTGTAAATACTGCATGAATTAATCTTTTTCAAGCCGCTTACCTGGAAAGGTGTTCCAGAAATATCAGATTCCAAGGCAAGTCGACCATATTCGGTGAATAAATGCAAATGCTGCAAGTGATCTTCTTGAATATTACCATGAATGTTATAAACTTGAGTACTACTGATCATTGTACTCAAAGCGAAAACTGTAGCACACTGACGCACAGTACTAGTGCTATCAAAGGAACCCTTAAAAGTAAAAGAGTAAGGAGAATATCTACAAACCTGTGTATCCATTAACAGAACAACTACTTCCTCTCCAGATGGTAGAGTCATAAAGAATGGTTCGCTCCATAACAATATTCCGACAGTGTCTCTCTCTGAACCACCTCGCCAGGGGAAGCCCTTCAAAGGTATTTCCGGGTCTCCTAGCCAGTTAGTACGGTCATTGGATAACAAATAACGTAAGAAAAAATCCAGTAAAAACGATTTTCCTTGACGAAACGCACCAGCGACAGACACTACAACAACTTTTTTGTCACGCACATCTGGTCTTAAAAGAATTGAAGACAAAGACTCTTCATCTAGACTGAATGATGTTTTCTTCATACATTCTTCAACATTTATAATTTGAACTGCACGTCCACCCGCTGCAACCATCCTCGACCCAAAAGTAACGCACAATTGGTGATCTACGCCTAACACTACATATTCAGTCTTCAATACCAGTGTTGACCAAAGAAACAATCATAGGAATAATAATCACAAAAATTGCAGACGTAAGTGAAATCTAGATGTATGAATGAACCACTCAAGGTTTCTTTTCACTTTTTTAGTCAGTCATAAAAATGAAGGATCTTTTCTCTATAAACCAGTGGCAATTACTCTGAACAATAATATGAGACTTGAAATGCTTAAAAAACTCCATCGTGAGACGCTTCATACGGGTTGTAGTTTTGCCGCGACATAGACCTTCTTGAAGTTTGTTTCACAAGCTCGGAAGGATAGCGAAAACATTTGATATCCGATTGTTAGGTTCTCGAAGTAGATAAAATATTTTCTCTAGTTAACAGACTGCGAAATAATATGACAAATTAAGAACCGATTAATTCGAAAGGATGAAGACGAGTTGAAACCTAATACGTCTGATTCAAAACGGTTTTAACTTGAGTTGGATAAATCTTGGGTAATAATAATTATCGTCAGAATACTCCTGAGGATGCCACAGGTATTTGGAGTTTGACGACACTTGAACCAGTAACATCTAATATGAAACGTACCCACCAAGAGAAATCAAAAGACAGAAGCGAGGAGGTTCGAAGATATATTTGATAGGCTATCAACATATCAAGGATCGACTGACCTAGACTGGCTAGTGATTGCAGGCGATGTTGAGCACGGCGTTCCCACTCGTGATCTGTTGCGGATGCATAACCAAGCGCCATCAGCTAGGTGAGTCCATTGAAACCAATGTGATCAGCATCCAATGTCGAAGACCTATAGAGCTATTTATTTTGGTGATTTATTTACCGCTATAGATCACCCCCCTTGGTGTGGTGGTGGTGACCCAAAGACGTGGCCAACCAGAAGTTTAAACTCAACGATTTTGTCGTTGGTAAACACTTTTCTGATAGCTTCCTAGGTTTAGCAGCGTCTGGTTGTCTTTCCCTACTATAACGGACAATGTGGTACAACATAGTAATAAAGAAACAAGGTAGAATTAAAATTTCGGGTCATCGTAAACTTCGTCGTTCTTTTTATTGTCTTTTCCAGCGTCGTGGAAAAGAAGAAAGAATATGTAAGTGCATGTCAAAATACACATGTACGCACGTAAAAACACTAAGCAGGCGAAAAAATGTGAAACTCATGCACATACGAAAGCCTAAATAAACCATTTTTACAGAAACTTTGAAATTTTTTATAAACCCATGGCAAAAAATTTTGTTTTTTTCCATAAATATATAAAATAAGCATATTAGAATTGGTTTTTTATATTATATATGATACAAGGAAAAATCGATACGAAACAAAATGTAAACTGGTGTGCAATAAACGTTTGAATGTTCTGGAAACCTTACTCTTCTTCCAGAACGCGTTGTTTTAAGTTTATTTTCTGATACTGCCGAAGTATCATCGTGTGTGTTGGCTGTCGGTTGAGTTACTATATGTGTGAGAGTCGTGTCTTTCGGTTGTACCGAGGGAAAATTGACATGGATAGGGTTTCATTCTAGATACTCTGTTTTGAGGCGATCGATGCTGATGCTATCGTTGATTCCGTTCTTATCGACTATATAGTACTTAGGTTTGCGTTGAAGAACTTTGAAGGGTCATTCGTATGCTGATTCGAGAGGTCGTCGATGTGAGTCTCGACCAACGAAGACTTGTGTACTATATCGTAAGTCAGGTTGAACGAAAACATCAGTTGATTGAGGTCGAGTGGAAACAGGTTTAACTGAACGCATTGCATTTGTAGGCCTGCTCGTGTAGGAGGTTAGATCCATGTTCACTGAAGAAGATGAAGGATTCAGGAAGTATCCTGGAAGTCGAAGTGTTGTTCCATAAACGAGTTGGACTGCAGTGTATCCAATGTCAGCTTTCACTGCATTGCGAATACCTAATAAGACGAGTGGATGGGCATCAGTCCACTGAGAAATTTTTGCAGCCGATAGTGGAGATTTTAGTTGTCTGTGAAAGCGTTCTACTAACCCGTTTGCTTGTGGATGGTAGGCGGTCGTTCGGAAGCGAGTGAGCCCTAATAGTGTGGTCAGACAACGAAAAAGTTCAGATTCGAACTGGCGTCCACGATCTGTAGTAATGGTTGAAGGGCAGCCGAAGTTTGCTTCCCATCGTTCGACGAAGGTGCGGGCCATTGTTTCAGCAGTGGTGTCCTTGATAGGTACTGCCTCCGGCCATCGAGTGAAACGGTCTACGCAGGTCAAAAGACAAGAGTTTCCAGTTGAATCTGGTAAAGGCCCTACCAAATCCAGATGAACATGGTCGAAACAAGCTTCGGGAGTTTTAAATGAGTGTAAGGGACATTTATTGTGTCTGATAACCTTAGATTTTTGGCAGCTTACACAGGAGCGTGCCCACTCCCTCACGTCTTTATTCATGCCAGGTCAGCAAAACCGTTCTGCTATAAGCTTAATGGTTTCATGAACACCTGGATGAGAAAGATTGTGCAAAGTATTGAAGACGTTGTGTCGATAATGTTTCGGCACGATTGGACGATCCCTATTTGCAGACGTGTCAAATAGTAAGGTTTCCTTACCTGTTCCCATCTGTTTGACGCACAGTTTAAGGGTTGTTGAGGATAACTCGTGCTGAAGATCAGTGTCTTCTTTTTGAAGACGGGTGAGTTTAACAAGTTTGATTCCTTGGGAACTGTTCAAGGAAGTTATGCGAGACAAAGCGTCTGCAACTACATTGTTTGCTCCAGAGATGTGTTGAATGTCTGAAGTAAACTGCGAAATGTAGTCCAGTTGTCGAGACTCACGAGGAGAGTAGTTGTCTGAAAGAGAGCTTAGAGAGAAGGTGAATTGTTTATCAAGATTTCTGTCTGTATCAAGGCCCCATATATGAGTGAGGGGTGCTAATTGCTCAAGTTTGCCGTTAATTTCGGATAGAGAGTTTTGTAGCTGTCGGATGTCATTACTATATCTATCAGTATTTTGGTGTGTATGAGGTGGACCATTGGACTCTTTAGTTTTTGAAATTTTAGATTTAGGCCTTGGTAGCACATACTGTCTGGTAGACTGTGCTGCCTTTTCGATGCACGTAGGTATAGTGTCTTGTATGTCAACCAGTCTTACCGTTGGCATACTGCACGTAAAGATAGAGGGGCTGCGACATGGAGAATCTGGTGACGATAGAGACATTTGTGTACAATACACATATTTTTCAGTAGTTAAAGGTTCGACATTGTCAAGCACTAAGTCGTCAGTTGTAGGGGTTACAGATTTGGACCTTTTATTTGGCTTAGAAGTTGGTGAAATTCCTCTTTTACTGGAGTTATTGGACATGATATGAAAATAAGTGAGCACAGTGCTCGTTAAATTAAATGTAATATCTGAGTATTAGTTGTTATTAAGTATTAACCTGGTTAATACTAGGATTAGAGACTGTGAGTATATAATGAATTGCAGATCTATTTACGACTTAAGTCCGCAATAGGTACAATACGAACTGGTAATTATCCGTCGAATAAAAACAAGTTTTTTCCTTATTTTTCGGGGTAAGATGTACCCGATGTACAGGATAGGATGATAATCACTGTATAATACACCCTACAAAAGAGCAAGTCGAAAAATTCCTAAACCACGTGAAAAAAATGTTACCACTTTCAAAGTTCGCGGTTGTATGGATGGTCAGTGAAAAGAGTGAATTCACGGCCTTCGATATAATGTTGAAAATGCCGTACAGCACAGTACATAGATAGGAGTTCCCTACGAATGTGCTGTACCTCGATTCGGTGTCTAGCAACCGTCTAGAGAAAAATGCCTAGGGTTGCCAAGAGTTGTTAACCCATTGTTGTAAAACTCCTCCGATTGCTGAGTCGGATGTGTTTACTGCGATGCCAATAGGTGCTTCATTGTCCTGATGAGCAAGCATTGTTGCTCTAGCGATAAGTTCCTTAATTGTGGAGAATGCTTTTCGTGCGGTGTCGTCCAGATTGATGGATTTCGCATTTCCACGAAGTTCATAGGTAAGAGGCTTCATAAGCGATGTGCATTTCTGTACGAAACGTCTATAGAAACTTACAAGACCGTTAAACGTCCGTAATTGCTTGATAGTGGTCGGTTCTGGGTAATCCAGAATGGCCGCCACTTTGGTTCTAAGGGCTCGAATGCCTTGAGCATCGATAGTGTGTCCCAGAAAGTCTAATGAGTCAGCTCCGATTTGGCATTTTGAATATTTACAGTAACGCCATGTTTTTGTAGTCGGTCGAAAACAAGATCCAGATGCTGGAGATGCGATTCTCTGTCCGGACTTGCGATTAGGCAGTCATTCATATACGCATGTACGAAATCGAGATCTCGAAAAACGTCATCTATGAATCTTTGGAATGTTTGAGCAGCGTTTCTTAGACCGAAAGGGATTCGCGAAAATTCGAAGAGTCCAAAGGGAGTAATGATAGCTGTTTTCGGTATATCGTCTAGCCATAGGGATTTGGTTAAAGGCTTTAACCAAATCGACTTTCGAAAAGACAGTTGTACCTTTCAAGGTAGCTGTCAAATCATGAATGTGAGGCAACGGGTAACGATCGGGAATGGTTTTGCATTCAATCGCCGATAGTCGCCAGTTGGACACCAAACGTTGATGTCCTTTTTAAGGACCATGTGCAACGGGGATGCATATGGTCTATTTGACGGTCGTATGATTCCTTAGTCTATCATATGGTCGAACTCGTCTTTCGCCAACCTTAGGTTTTCGGGAGCTAGTCGTCGTGCTTTAGAGAATACAGGTGGTCCTGTAGTCGTGATGTGATGTGTAACGTTGCTGGTTACACACGTTAGTTTCTGCTGCGTTTGGTGAATCTCAGGGTACTTATCGAGTAGTGGTTGGTAAAAGTGGGTCTATCATATGCTTGATTGTTACTCGGGACAATCTACAATCAGAAAAAGAAGTTACGCAAACGGATTAATTAGTGTTTCCGTCTACTGGCCTCCGTTTGCGCGTATCGATGATTAGATTATGGTGTTGTAGAAGGTCCATA